AAAATGAGGAACTGATACCCAGGGCTCAAGTAGGAAGAAAATGTTTGAAAATGATGGCAACAAATGTACAAAGGTGCTCGACACAATGGATGGATGTATGAATTGTGATAAGAGCTGTAAGAGCCCTCAATAAAATGATTTAAATTTAAAAAAAATAATTACCAATGCATCTTAATTGCCTGTTTGATCAATTTCAGACTGAAGACATTGGTGGAATTTTTCAATTTCCTCATCACTAGCTTTTATGGTTGGTGCATAAATATGAATAATAGTTGATTGGATTTCCTTGAAAGCGGATAGATATAATCTTCTAACCGACAGCGTTGTACTTCATGACTGATTTTGCAATATCCTTTCTGATCATATGATTTCTCATTCAAAATTGTCTTTCCCAGTCCATTTCAGCTCACTAATGCCTAGGATATCCATCTTTAGGTGTTCCATTGCATTTTTACCACTTCCAATTATCCTAATTTCATACTTTACACATTCCAAGTTCTGATTATTAGTTTTTTGCAGCTATTTCTCCTTATCTTGGGTCTTGCCCCACCAGCAAATGAAGATCCTGAAAACTTCCTCTCACGGGCTTTCCCTGGCTCTCATCACCATGATCAACCCCACTCCGAGAAAGCAGCTCCTTCTCTGTCACATGTGGGTACCCTCCCACCTGAGGGGCCTCTCCTCCAACACAATCTCTGACGACCTTCAGCTTCTATTCATTAGGCCTACAGTACCTGAAAGTGCTGTGAAGCTATGTGTAAGGTTGTCAGTGACTCCTTCCTCCAAAGAGGGGAGTCAAGTCTTTCTTCATTATCAATATTCCGATAGGTTAATAAAAATTTGCCTATGGATATGTGGGCACATGATGGCAAAGTTTTTGCTCTAAAGCAGGGTAGTGTTGATTGGTATCTGTATGGTTAAAGAAAAAAAAAAGTACAATTGCATATGTGTCAGTGATAGCTAATGAACTGGTAGTGTCTGCTAGTAAGTCCCTTGCCATCTAAAGTTGTTTTCTCACTGTTGTCTCATATTCAAGATTCTGATTTTCTGGTGGTAGAAAGTGAAACCACTGTTTAGGGAAGCTAACATCTTTCCTTTAGACCTCTATTCTCACTCTGTTTTGTCCCTCACCTACTTCACTGAATAGGTTCTGCCTAGGGTTCCCAAAGAGCTTGACAAAGACTAACACCTATTTTATTCATTTAGATGTCTCAGAGCCTACTTCCACCCCTAGGTCAAAATGATGGAATTGTTTCTAGGTATTAAACATTTTCTAATTGTCTTATATTCAATATCAAAAGATTCTTTGTTTGCCCCTTAACAGGTTTAGTACAATATACTGAAATTGGAGCTATTCATGATAAAATTTTCACATTGTACTATGATCACTTGGGATTCATACATAAACTGACTCCATATAAGTTTGACGCTGATAAGTCATTCTCGGCCATGGGCAGTTCTAAAGCTATTTTTCATAAGGTCAGTGATAAAATGTATTGGAACCATTCGTCCCACTTTAAGAATAAATGTCACACTCTATATATAGATTAATGGGGATATTTTCTTTGGTGATCTCTTATGAATCTGCTTTGTTCTGCTTAAGGAAAAGAAAAACCTCCATATACAAAAGAGCATGTCCAACATCTTCTTCCAAATCCCAACCAGCATCATATAGATTTCATTCCACCCAGGAGACCGTCATGCAGATAGTGTCAAGCAGTACCTCACTAGATAGCCTAACTACGGTCTACTCCCAATCCAGGTCCATGGTGTGTTTAATTTTCTACCTTTCAAGACTGGCCTTGAAACAGGAGTTTTGTGCTTCCCACGACTTTGCATCACCTCGTTTTTATACTCCCTGCTCCTTAGTTGCCTACTCTTCCAATACTGCCTAAAAGAGAGCTTTTCTCTTCTTGACAGATGACTCTAGGTAGCAATTTTTATAATAAAACCAGTGTATAATGTGCCCCTTCTGAAGACATATCTTGCCTAAGACCTCATCATCGGGCCAATACAGTCATGAAAAGTAATACACAACAATAAATCAACAAGAATTCTAATAGATTTCCTGAATGGTAATGAGTTAGAATAGAACTGACCCTCTGGCCCAAGGGAAATCCATGGGAGTGTCCAACCATTCGCGGAAAAACTGAATGAAAAAATAATGGAATCTTTCCATGAAATTTCTGAGGCCTCACACCTATTCCTCACATAACCATTTTACACATTAATGGCACATGCCTGCCAGTAAGAAGTGCTAAGGTGCAAGCAAAAGGAAAGCTGGCATTGATAGTTAAGGTTATGTATAAACTTAGCCATAAGTCTCAGTCACTTGGCAGTTATGTAATGATGTAATCTGGTCATCCTCCAGTTTGTGATTTAAGCTAACTGCAACTGTACTAACTTTTGAGGCACTCTATCTGAGGGCAAGGCTAGTCACATTCCTGATCAATGATATGAGGGAATTCAAAGACTGAATCCCATGGGGACTCTGTCACTGTCATTCATAGCCTTCTGCAAACTGGGTGCTCAGAATTTAAGCTCTAATACAATTCCCTCCTCTGATCTTGGATTTTATTCTTTACAATCCAGCTGATTTACTTTTAAGGAAAGTAAAGTACATAGAGGCTAAAAATTAACCTAAATATACATAACCTCTATGTTCTGAAATGACCTATCTATCACAGACTAACGACTACAAGACCTATGCTTTTAGACACTACACTGCCTTTCACTGGACTTGCATGTGATCTCTCTCCATAGGATCCTCTCACTACCACTCAGGCTGGAATTCTAAGTAATTTTCAAACTTTCCAGTAGTGTTCAAGAGTCCTCAAGCCTTCTGCACTCTCCCACATTTATTCTCCTTGCATCTCTTTCCCACTTAATTCCTTTATCAATGGGTTCCCAATTTTAAGAAACTAGGGAAAAGGCCATGGCAGAACATGAGGCTTGGAGGCAACAGTTTAGTGGGCATGTTCCCAACCAGCCTGCACTGTCTCCTGCTTGCTTTTCAAAACAACACAGTCAACCCCCTCAACCCCTTTGGAGATAGTCCCCTCCACCTTTCTCAATCCTAGAAGTTCTCAAAGCCAAACAAGACCAGAGTCAAAGAAGGCTGTATTGAAAAGAAGGTCTATGGGACAGAACTCTAGGTCAAAGGTATGAGAAACAAGAAAGAAGTATGCTCCTTAAAGCAAGAGATTTAGACAGTAGCATGAAAGCCATTGGCACTAGACTAGACACAGCAACTTTCAAATGAGAAGGGCTACATCCCAATCCCTTTCCTAGTTCTAGAATCTGCACATCCAGACTCCTCCCCTCAACAGGACTGGATGGGGGCCGGTGCCAAATTACCATACACCCTTCCCCTCCAGCCTTCCACCAAGAGTACAGGAAACTTACCCTGAGTCTTCATCATCAGAATGTCTTTTCCTCTTCAATGCAAAAATGAATTTATGGATATCCAAACAGAATAGGTTGAAATACTACTACAATTGATCAGGAAAGCAGCATGATCTTGATGTGAATTAGAAACAAATCTGTTATTTGCATTTTGCTTTCACTACATATACAAGCATGTCCGTGCAATACTTCCTTTTTTCCTTTCTAGAGTTTCGATATAGGGTTTGAGTCTCCCCTTGCTCTACAGTACATCTCCTTAAGCCAAGTTATGTTTTATGCATATGTGCCTCCAAATGAACCTGCAGCAACGAAACATACCAAGGAATTCACCAGGATGCACTTCGGAAAAGTCCTCTTCCCCAGGTATCCAGTACTTTGCCTCCCTTTTGCTTAAATTGCACTCTGGTTTCTGAGTCTAAATCTTGACATGGTTGGTTTTCTGTGTATTTTTTTTTTCAGTTCTTTTCTTCATCAAATTGAGTAAGTCTCTCTCCCTATCTCTATCATTCTCTCCCTCGTTTCATTCTGATATTCTGCAAGGCCAAATATATTATAGATTGCAAGGGTCTTGCATGATGCTTCAATTTTTAAAAGCATAGGGTTATTTATATCTGTACCATTAGACCACGTTGTAGAAATGTGCATTTGCTTTACTGGAAATCAAATCTCTAGAGCCCACACACGCTAACTGCTGTCAAGTCCATACTGATTCAGAGCCACCCTAGAGGACAGGGTGGAACTGCCCTGTGGGCTTCTGAGACTGTCACTCCTTACGGGAGTATGAAGTCTCAAACTGTGGACCCAGTGGCTAGCTGCCCAACTTGTAACCACTACACCACCAGGGCCCATACCGGATATGCTAATCCACAGTGTTTGTATCCAGGGCACATCTTATACTTATAGAAACAAACACACCTCATTAATTGAGCGGGCGATGTGCACCTTGCACGGAATGCTTCATGACAGAGAATGATGGAATCTTAGGAATGCTTAATTTTACTGCAAGCAGCCTTGTTGTGTTGTCGTTAGGTGCCTTTGAGTTGGTTCCAGCCCATAGTGGCCCTGTGCACAGAGAACCACACACTGC